AACTTGTGACGTATGCTGATGAAGATCGGCTTCAGAGCTGAGATGTTTGTTCTCGTGGTGCGGGGGCTCGTTCCGATGCCCACACAGAAAAAAAATGAAAATGACGACTTTAGAACGGTTGGATTTAAAATGACGACTATAGTCATCAATGGCAGTGAATGACTTAACAGTTAGCAAACTAAAATAGCTAACTGCTAGCCTTTACATTAGCCACTGGCACAGTAAACGGCTATTATCGTAAAGCAGGTGAAGACATCCAACTAGAGTTCCCGTACCTCAAAACTGTCAAGAGCAGCTTCTGGTCCGCAGAGGGCGGAATGTAATGTTGCCCAAGTTTCTGACTCAAGAACCACTAAAACCAGTTTAAAAGCAAAAGTAAAGCTTTTGTGTGTAATTTCATCTCCAGTTCAACAGATGGCAGTAACAGGCTGACAAGCCCATTTATCACATGCTAACGTTGAATTGTTGTTTTTAACCAACTTAATAATAAAATGGGCGCTTCTTTGTAATCTCTGAGCATTTGGACAAATGTCGGCAGTAATTATTGGGCATTTAATCAAAGTGTGTGTTAATTAGAGATGTGAAGGGAGCTTCCATGCCTCCTGTGGGGTTAGGGTGGGCCAGTGTCACCCTGACAGAATGCTCGAATCCCCCCTGTGGCCCCCCTACTGAGCGCAGAGCCTATGCATTAATTAGTCCTGATTTTGTGATAACTTCCCCCAAAGAGAGTTATGGAACCAAAGCATTTGTTTGAAGTTGAAAAAGAGTTATATTTTCATACTTATTAGAAGCTGTTGTTTGTAAAGCAACTGGAACTGAATTGCTGTAATTATACACAAAAATCTGAAATATCGTATTTTCCGGGCTATAAGTCAAACTTTTTTTCATAGTCTGGCTGGTCCTGCGACATATATACCAAAGTGACGTTTATACCAAATTATGTATACCGCGCTGCTGCGGGCCGCTCCGGACCAGGAATGAGCTCCCCTGCCCCGCCATCACCTGCTGGAGACCATGGCGCGCTGCTGCGGGCCGCTCCGGACCAGGAATGAGCTCCCCTGCCCCGCCATCACCTGCTGGAGACCATGGCGCGCTGCTGCGGGCCGGCTCCGGACCAGGAATGAGCTCCCCTGCCCCGCCATCACCTGCTGGAGACCATGGCGCGCTGCTGCGGGCCGCTCCGGACCAGGAATGAGCTCCTCTGCCCCGCCATCACCTGCTGGAGACCATGGCGCGCTGCTGCGGGCCGCTCCGGACCAGGAATGAGCTCCCCTGCCCCGCCATCACCTGCTGGAGACCGTGGCGCGCTGCTGCGGGCCGCTCCGGACCAGGAATGAGCTCCCCTGCCCCGCCATCACCTGCTGGAGACCGTGGCGCGCTGCTGCGGGCCGGCTCCGGTCCAGGTTTCAGCTCCTCTGCCCCGCTGGGAGGGTTTGAAACACCGCCATCACCTGCTGGAGACCGTGGCGCGCTGCTGCGCCCTGATTGTTTATTCTGTTGTTGTTACCAGTACTTGTCTTGCAATGTGAAACGCTTGGTCTCAGATTTTGTAAGAAAAATAATAAAAATTGTGACTTATATATGTTTCTTTCTTCTTCATTATACATTTTATGGCTGGTGCGACTTATACTCCGGAAAATACGGTACTTAAAGCCAATGTTTGTGGTGTTATTTACACATGTGCCTCTCTAACTGGGCAGCAGGCCCCAGCCTGGCTCTCCTCCACTGCTTCTAGTAGTACAACGTCTTAGATTTTTACCACGTTAATAATCTAAATCTAAATCTGTGCATTCATAACAATCTGGGCCTGAAGCAGGACCTGGAGCAGCCGGACCGTCGGAGACTGGCACAGATGATGACATTTATGCTATGCTTGAACATCTGTGCAGCCAACCTTTTATCTCCTTAATAAAACTTTCTTAATTACAAGATTAACCCAAAAAAATGAGGCCACAATTTGAAATTCTGCTGACAAAAACAATTATATTTGTCTGAAAATAGAATTTTTGAGTCATTTAACTGAACCGGTTCAGTCCCTCCCTGTTGCAGCTCGAAAAAGACAAAAGGTGTTGTTTTCTCTGGGATTTGGCAGGAGATTACCGACATGCCAACAGGTGATTTAATCCATGAGGGAACCATAAGAGGTCTAAGGTTAAATAAATAGTATCGTCATGACAACAAAGCTCTAGATCTTCTAGTTTGCATCATCTAATCCTGTTGTTCACTTTGTCCTCACCACCACTGCATCTACGATCGTCGGTTCCCAAGCACCATCCCCCTCTCCAGTGGCATCATCGTGTTTGCTGGGAGATGGTCCAGAGCCAAACCAGTGGGACTCTTCAGCAGATCCAGGCTGCAGCGTGGCCCGGCCCGGCCCGGCTGCCAGACAGACATAAACACTCCATGGGTTTAAACATCCAGCAGGCCTATGAAAATGAAATGTTTCATCTCTGATCTCACTCTTTCCAGCATCTCTGCAGTCCACAGCAGTGGCAGGCACGGGGGGGGGGGGGGGGGGGGGGGGGGGGTGATAATAGCCTCTTAAATGTCAAATCAACACCATTCATTATACGCAGCGTGTGGCTGATATACAGAAGCTCGTCTGAACCCATCGGGTTCTGCCTGGACCGGGTCAGGGCCGGGGCCGGGGCTCTTATTTTGCGCCCTGACTCATCGACCGTCGCTGCAACAAAAAGGCTTAATTTGAGGCTTGGGGGGGTGGGGGGCTCAGAAAACAGTGCGATGAACTCTTTTAGCGCCGAGGTGATGAGTAATGGAGCAGGCTTGTGAGAGTCAGCGTCGGGGGGGCCGATTGTGGTTAAACATGAGCGTGTCCCTACATACCGCTGTGCCTTTTCCCATCAGTGAACACCCCCCCCCCCCCCCCCCCCCCCCCCCCCCAGGGCGTAGACAGCGCATTCCATCTTTATCGATAGACGAGGATGGAAAAATGAGGATTTATGTTTTCAGAGGCCACCTGCTGCTCAGCTGGTTTTATAAAACAATTAGCAAATAAAAATGTAAGAAATACTTTCTTTAGTTCCTTTTTTATGATCCGATAGCAGATTTGTATGTTCATACGTTCATCATTTTACATCCGGCTGCGCTGAGCTGAACAGCTTAGACTAACTTTTTCTGACCCAAATCACAAAGTAAAGGAATGTGGATAATAAAACCCTGACTGAGACATTCCTTTAAGTTTTCATGGGGCAGCAGATAAATGCCACAGCACCCCCTGCTGCTTCCTTCTGTTCAGTCCCGCCATAAAGAGAAGTTTCCAAAGAGCTCCCATTTACAGTCTGCAGCTGAGGTTAAACAGCTGTGGGGAAAAAACATAACGTGCACACACTGCTTCCATTGCTTTATACAGTTACACATCATACATTTGACTTAGACACCAAAACGCTGCAATTTAATTAAACTTTATTTTTTAAATATATTACATATCCAAAACTCTTATTTCATTCTTCTGTGCAAGAGTAAAAAAATGGATTTCTAGATAAAATGTTATTAAATATGAATAAACTTGGTTTTTTTTCTTCTTCACAGGCATTAATGCACTTTTTCTTCTTTTCTGTCATGTGTCATTGCTGAAAACTGAATTTCTCAGGAACCTTCTCGAGGGATTAATCATTTATTTGCAATCTACTGTCATCTCCCGCCTCGATTACTGCAACACCCTTCTAACTGGTCTTCCAGGCTGTACTGTGAGACCTCTTCAGATGGTCCAGAACGCAGCGGCGCGTCTGGTCTTCAATCAGCCAAAAAGAGCACACGTCATCCCTCTGTTCATTGAGCTCCACTGGCTACCGCTAGCAGCACGCATCAAATTCAAATAGCTAACACTAGCATACAAAGTCCGAGACGGTACGGCTCCCATCTACCTGAATCCTCTTGCAAAGGCTTACGTCTCGGCCCGGCCGCTCCGGTCATCACAGGATGGTCGGCTAGCAGTGCCTACACCACGCTCAGGACAATCCAGACTCTTCTCATGCATCGTTCCACAAATGTGGAATGACCTTCCAAGCACTACCAGAACAGGGGCTTCCTTTTCAATTTTCAAGAAACTCCTGAAGACCCTGCTCTTCAGAGAGCATCTTCTTAACTAGCACCTTCCCTGCACCCGTCCCCCCGCTCTACTCTCCACTCCTTGTTCCCTCCTGTCCATGACTGATGTCAAGTTGTTGTTGTTAGCCTCAAGGGCAACATGCCGATTATTATTTGTAAGTCACTTTGGACAAAAGCGTCTGCTGAATACATAAACATAAATCTTAAATACAAAATGATTAAGCCTTATTTAAGGGGCTTCTAGAACTGCATCTAGCTTGTTTAATAAAGGCAGCGTAGGGTGTCAGATACACCAAAAGCCTCTGACCCGCTTTCCTCTGTGAACTAGTAATGTTGGAATGACCACGGAGAAACCATCGTAAGCTCAGAGACACCTCCTTACAACCGAATTCCACATCAGCAATATAAATGTTGGTGGTAATGCTAACCACAGAACAATGCTAATTCCAGCTACTGCTAACGCTACCCCAAGCTATTGCTAACATCCCTGTTGGATGAGTTGGAAACAACACGGGAGAATGTTGGAGCACACCCGTATTATTCTAGGATGAACTGGGAATATCCAGAGCCTTAACTTTCCAACTGACTAATCCAGATACGGAATCGTTTATAGCGTCAGGCAGCATCACAGCGCAGTCCGGGTAAACCGGCCAATCGGTACACAGCTCATTTAATATCTATGTCCTGGCCAAGCAGGCAGATTAAACCAGTCTTCTTATTGTGGAGTTTTCTTATGGGGTTGTTTGGCCATTTTTCAGGGCTCCTGGGCCACTTTGAGCCCCAACAATGTTTAATGTTATAAAGAGGCTCAAAGAACAGTTGTTCTTGTATTTATTTTTATTGGAGGGGAGATCCATAAGATTAAATACTTTTGGTAACTAATGCCTTCTTAAAGTCCAAAATAAATGCATAATGGTGATGTTTCTCCGCAGGGAGCTGGAGACAGCTTCATTGGTGCTCTGGCGTTTTACTTGGCTGTCCACCCCACCATGACCCTGGAGGAGATGGCAGGCAGAGCCAATCAGGTGGCGAGTGTGAGTGTGCAGACCTCCGGCACACAAACGTCATTCCCCTTCAGACAGGATCTACCGGCCAAACTGTTCTGAGATCAGACACACAAACCTGTCTGCATGGACCAAGTGGATCGTCTTAGGAAGTCTGCTGCTTTAAGAAGCCTTACAATAATACATTTGACAGCTGTTGAATAAATGTGACAGTAAAATTGTCTTAAACATAATTTATTGAATAATCCCAAAGAGATCAAATGTCACAAATGTTATGGATATTTAAACAAAACTGAGAAACCTGCTGGTCCCAATGAAGACTTAACCCAGGTCTTTCCATCAAAGTGTCAGTGAGACTCTGAACCGCTCGAGGTGTATTAACCCAGGAAGAAATCTTCTGAAAGCATCAGCTGATCAGAAATGTCCCCGACTGATGCTTCCTTTAATCCATGACAACGAAAGTCTCACAGGTTTACTGTCCATGCATGTTGGTACAGAACTGAATTAAATTGATTTGATTTTCCTCTTCTCAAAAAACAGGACATGTTTGTTTACTGCAAAGACAAAGAACAGAAGACAAAGCAAAGGTTCAGTGACATGAAGTAATACTTTAGAAGCACTGAGTTTGTTGCATTAACCTTCATGACTGTAATTATGAGATGATTAAGATCATGTTTCACAGACAGAATTAAATAATCATGATTTTCAGCTGAGTGAAATACAATAAAACGAGTTTAACAACTGGAATTGTCTCCATGACAAAATACAGTTCCTGTTGGAATGCGTAATTCTAAAAACGGCACAAGCTTTTGGCAATTTTTAATCGAAAATTGATTATAAATTATGGTATTTTGTAAGTCTGTCAAACTTCACGACAAAAGAAATGTTTTTCTGATTTATAATTTACTATTTTTATTCATGAAAGTCAGAACTCAGGTCTCAAAATCCTAAACTGCTCTTCGTTGCTAACACAGCTTCATTAGAAACAGTTCAGGCTCGTGTGCAAATTACTTCACTATACTACAGCTTGATAGTTTTAGTTTTTTTAGTGGGGGCCGTGTAAAAAAGTAATTATGTTTCAAGATATATAAGATACCTTGTCTTAATTTCCCTCAATGCATGTTTGCCTGTTATACGTTTTTAAATGCGGTTAGGGGCTAATAGAGTGAAATAATTGCTAGTGAGGAGTTGGTGCATTGGCACAGAAACACCTGAGTCTAGTCTTTTGACTGTATTTTAAAAACGAGTTGTGTTCAGCTCTTATTATTTTAATCTCACCAAACGGATCGTGTTTACGTAGCACCAGTTTTTCTTTCAGTCGATTCCTCTTGGTGTTGAAAAAGTATCCTGTCCCAGCAGCACTGACCATCTGCACCAGGATGGTCCTGGGGGAGGAAGAACGTTAGTGACCATTTCACAACGATCCAACTGAAATTTATTCAGACGCTTCACTTACTTAGATTTGGCTTTTGCCACTGAAAGAGAGAAGATAACACGTTACAAAGCAGTCAGACTCAAATGCTGCAATTGTTTTATTGACTATCAACCTCCCTCGCATGTTGGAAAGCAAAGGAGCGAAGCGAGAGTAGCTAGCCACAAGCTACAATCCAGCTAAAGCAGCGCGACTAGTTTTATTAAACACACAGAACCGACTATGTTAGCGGATACTCTAAAGTATTCGTTAAGTGCCTTGGATACTCACAATTTACGGTTGTAAGAAACATTTTGTAGGTTTCTACTTGTTTTCGAATAAAGCTATAAAACGCAAAACGAACTGGTCACATTGAAAATTTGTTTTTCCAGGTCAAATAAAAGTACTTCCGGTTTTTCTTAAAGGCGCAGCGTACCAGAAACGTTTGTATTAAATATGGCGCGAACATTATTTTTTTATGTTTTAGTCTTGTTCAGTACTCCAGGCTTTCAAGATATATTTAAAAGTGCACAGTTTATAAATTTAATGGATTTTCTCTTATTTTCTGACCAGATCATCAGAATGATGTGCAAATTAATCAAATGGCCGAAGTTGCCAAGTGGAAGTGAAAATAGGAGGTGGCAGGCAGAAAAAGCATGCATGCAATAGATGGACAGGGTCTAAAAACATTTATATTCAAAAGCAGAAAAATAATTTAAAGATCTGACAAAAGGGATTAAAGAATAATCATCTTTTCGCTGATTAATTAGATATTATTTTAACCTTCATGTTTAATTTTTTTCATCACTTTTGATTTCTTTGTATTTTCAATTTTCTTCAAGCTGATTTAAATCCAATTTTAAACATGTGACATGTGTAAAAACAAAATATGAGAAAATTAGAGAAGCATCAGGTCTTTTTTTATTTTATTTTATTTTATTTTATTTTGATCATTTAAAAGATTTTTTTTTCACATTATTTAGCTTTTCCTGCCCTAGTAATTCACAAAAAAATTCTATTCATCTTTGTTGTGTTTTCGTAACAATTACTAAGTTTTTTTAAAGATGGTGGCTGAAACACAAAAAGTTGCTGGAAATTTTAATAAAAGGCAACAGAATTCTTTACACAGCCAATCACAAAAATGCCAAGCTCAAAGACTCTTGCATCAGAAGCATCTCTTTTTTGCGCAAACATGGCTTTCTGTTCTATAAAGAGGAACTGATCTTTAGTTCTTTATTTTATTTATTCTTTCTCTGAAATTTAACAGCAGCTGTCAGAAGAGCAAATTACAAGCATGTCTAACAATCGGGCCGCCAAACTAGAAGCTAGAAAGATAAAAATCCTCCAATGGATTTCCTTGCAGTCAAACAAACAGAAAACAATGAAAGCCACCGTGGAAAATCCAAGTGATGCTCGTTGTCGGTCGCCCTGTCTGCAGCCTTGAGCAAGCGACTCCGATTCCATTATTGGGCTGTAAGGAAACAGACAAAGTCGACTCTGGAATGTCCCAAACCTTGGCTAAAAGAATGTCTCTCAAAGAAGATCAGTGGGTCTGAAACTAGTAATGTCACCATGGAAATCCCCTCAAGTCCTCACAAAACAGAAACTCAATATCCTTCTTGTGGCCACACTGAAACGTTGGTGGAACAAGAGTTTTAACCTGCTCTAAAGCGTTTCACCATGACTAATACAATGGTGGTATTTTCACCAGGTTCATGTTTGTCCTCTTTGTGACCTTTGTGTGACCTCGACAGAATAACTTGTTTTTTGTCCTCAGAGGAAATTGTTCCAAAAGCCAAAAAGAGTCTGAATAGTTTTCTGCAAACATGATATTCCCACCAATTCTTTGTGATTGCCATTTACTTCCTTCAGATAATCTCTCATAGAAGGAAAAGTGAGACTTTCTTCTTCATGTTTTCTGTTTTTGTTTCCAGACGTTTTAAGTTTTGGTTCAACTTTGAGAAGCACAGTCAGCGGCTCCTCTGGGTAAAAAACACATTGGTGTTACTTTCAGCGGATATCAAAATGTTTATTCAAACAGAAAATACAAAGAAAAAGAGGAAAAATGTGGCAGCTAATTCAAAATGGCCATAAGATCAGTGGTTTCAAACACCTACTGGGGGGTCTAGAGAAGATCTCAAAGTTTTTAAATAATAATTAAAATATTTTGGTCACACTTTTTTTTTACAATAAGATCAATATAATAAAGAGTTAATGTTGTTGCGGATTTATTTGTTTTTGACATTTGTATCCGTTCGTCCGTCGGGTCAGATCATGGAGACGACAAGTCCAGTAGGGAAGCCCCGAGAGTCCATCCCACTCTCTAGTTCCTTCTAGGATCCCAAGGTGTGTGAGATTACTACGCCCCTGGAGTGACTTCTGAGTTCACTTCAAGGACTCCTCCCACTGGGGTTGCCCGTGAAACCCCTAGATAGGTGACATGGAGGCATCCCTTTTAACATGAACCATCTCAGCTGACTCCTTTTGAGGAGACGCAGCAGCAGCTCTAGTCTGACCTCCTCACCTCAGCACCCTAAGAGGAAGCTCGTTTCATGGGCCCAAGTTCTTCTCCTTTAGGGTCATGATCCATGTCTGGTAAACGGTAAATGGCCTGTATTTGTATTACCGTTACACATTCTTAGGGTTCTACAACCCCCCAAGGTGCTTTAAAATTCAATCAGTCATCCACCTATTCACACGCTGGTGATGATGAGCTACGATAGCCACCGCTGCCCTGGGGCGCACTGGCAGAGGCGAGCCTGCCGAGCACCGGTGCCAGGGTGGGTGAAGTGTCTTGCCCAAGGACACATGAGCAGCATTCTCTGGCAGGAGAACTGACCCTACAACCCTCCGGCTGCTGGACAACAATCTCTGCCTCCTGAGCCACCGTAAGAAACAGTCAGAGGTGGAAAGAATACTGAAATGTCCTACTTAAGTACGAGTACCAATACTTTGACAATATTTTACTCAAGTACAAGTAAAAGTACTTGCCTAAATTTTTACTCAAGTAAAAGTAAAAAACATCGTACATAAAATGTACTCAAAGTAAAAGTTACTTAGTTACATTTTTGTCGGCGTAAGGATGGCTACATCTAAGTAGTGCAAAATCACAACGCCAGTTTACAATTCGCTCGTGTGCGCAAAACGCTGAGAATCCGCTAGTTATGAGCGCTAAACGCATGGACGTAATTTTGGGGGGGGACAGGGGGGACATGTCCCCCCCCCACTTTTTCCAAAGTCAAGTTTTGACCCCTGCACGTTTTACCATCCAAAAACAATTTTACGCTATATTAAATTGACACTGGTTGAGCTCTAGGACCAAGCGGAAAACAATTGTTTGTGTTGAAGCCTGTCTCCCATTAGAGCATACTGTAAAGACCCCCGTGCCCCCCCCCCTTCTAAAGTGAAAATTACGTCCATGGCTAAACGTTATTTTGCCGCTGCTGTGCGGAGCGGTTGGGGAATCACATTTCAAACACGGAACCGAGTCCGGCTACCGAACCGAGCAGAATTTTGATGATGTAACACCGGAGCGCGAATGTGCGGGTTTCAACCCACAGGAGAGGAGGGAGAGAGGAGGTAAACAGCGAGTGGATCACAGGGACTGAACTGATGTTTCTGGGCAAGACAGTGGTAAAAATGGCTGCTTGTCCTCATTATCTAAAGTGTATTCCCCCCCCCCCCCCCCCCCCCACACACACACACACACACACACACGGTTTAGACGCGGCGCTCATGCAGATGTCTCTTTCTGTTCCGACACACAATATTTTTAATTTATTAAGCCTATAATTTGTTTTTACTCAGTAATGGATATGATTTAAAATGTATCGAATCACAATTCTTTAAAAAAAATACTTACTCAAGTAAAAGTACAGATTTTAAAAACGACTTTAAAAGTATAAATACACAAAAAAGCTACTCAATTACAGTAACTTGAGTAAATGTAATTCGTTACTTTCCACCTCTGGAAACAGTCTGTCAAAGACAAATGTTGCTGTGAGGTCGCTGCCCTAGCTTCAACACCCAGATTCAACATTTTTCAGCGGCTGCAGCAGATTCCCGAGCGATAACAGGAGGATGATGGTGAATCACAACACTAAACCCGTCCTTGTTTTCCTTTACAGGTGTCCTCGTAACATCACCCCAACTGCTGCACCATCTCTCTTTAATTAGCATCTTTATATGTTTATGCCATCTTGTTGTAAAATCAGCCCAAAACATTTCCATGAATGATGAGTTTTTGAAGCACTTCCACTTCCCATTTACAGAAAAAAAAACCGTAAGAAGGATCAATTCACAAATCAATGAAATGATGGCGCTGTTGTCAGATAATGTGAAGGTCAATGAGCATTTTTCCTGGAAGAATCTTCACACGCGACCTTGTTTAATTCTTTCTGCAACTGAATTTCCAACATGTTTGATGAGTTGCTGTAATTTCCCTTAAAGGTCACGAAGCTACATTCTGTCTTTTCTGTCGGTGTAATTTTCTCCGGTCTTTTGCTAATTCGCTTTCTGGGAACGTCGTTCAGCTCTTCAGATGTCTAATCGGAGATTTCCTGGAAAAATGAATTGTGCCATTACCCGACCAGTAATAGGTCTTTAATGTTAGAGAACCATTATAAAATCAGGGGGCAGCATGTCTGTACGATCACAGAGGACCCTTCAGCTACTGTTCGAACATCCGGCGTTTTCTGTTCACAGAAGTAGGACAAAATAAAACCCTAGTGGGTCATTGTCTCATAAGCTCCTCTTCAAAGCAGGTCCAGTGTGCAACAGATAGGTCCCACCGAGGTCTAGCTGAGTGGGCAGGTACAAAGGAGGCCGAATGCGGCTGTGGTGGTGAACTCAGTAAGGGAAAGCTAAACATTAAGGCGGAAATGAGCATGAATGTTATTGGACGGGCCGAGCGGCGCTGTAACCAGGCAGGGAGCAGCTGTCAGGATGTGTGTGGAGGAGCTTGCGTCACTGAGGGATAATTCTGAGAAAGAGGCCGAGACCAAAGCTCCAACATGGGCTCTCCTCCTCCTCTTCCTTCACCATCCCTCCCACTCAGCCTTCTGCACTCCGGACGCTCGCTCCTCTTTCTGTCTCTCACTCTGTCGCACGGATACTCGTCACTCCATCTCACATCCTTTTCTTTAACTAACCACTGCGTCCCAGCTTCCTCTCCTTTATCCTTTACAAACTCAAGCTGTGGTTCTCATCTGAAGAGTCAGAATAAGGTAGAACGGTAGGAATGGGCCACCGGCCCGACTGTAATAAAAGCCAGCACTTCCCAAACTCGTGCATTTGCTGCAAAAAGTTCAAATGTTTCATTTAATTTGAAATGAATGTGTCTTTCCATCATTAAAAGTGTGCCAGAATTAATAAACGGTAAACGGCCTGGGGTGCAGCACCTTCTTAGGGTTCTACAAAC